CTTAACGATCAAGTTAGTTGCTAATAAAGTTTCCCAACTTTTGGATTTTTTCTGAATTGAAATAGAGACTTATATACCTTCAGAAAAACTAATCCAATGGAAAGTTTTGTCCGGGCAATCAGAAACAGCAACCAAAGATTTATCGACTAAAAGTAAAATCCTAAAGCCTCAACATTTTACGATATCACATGCCCAAAAGAGGATTGTTGGAACATCCCTATGTTAGCTTGAAGCCGCAGCCCGCTGGGACTAGCTGATCTATTCGGTTTGTGGCCGCACGACGCGCTGCGCAGTTCGTGGATTCAGCGTGGAGCAGGCGGCTCGAGCTATCACTCCGTCAGCTTACACTGACCTCCTCGTCTTCTGTACCTCACAGTTGTGAGGAGCCGCACAGTCGTCAGGTACGTTTTTATACCGAAATATCACTTACATCACTTTTCAGTCACTGATATAAAAGGTGCTGACTGAAACGTCTGACCGTTTTCAAAATCTATTCAGCCGCTTGAGTAACGGTGTTATCTTGTGATGACTTCTACATTTCATTTTGTGTACTATTGTTCAAAACAGACCAGCTGTTAAGCTTCTTGGCATGTAACGTAAGGGAGCACAAATGGTTACTAGAAAGGCCTAGAAAGGCTAACCCTTCTTATTGGCCATCCGCTAGTTGGTCAGCTCTGGCGACGCCGTACATCTTTCATAGTACAAACTGTCCGCGTCATCAGTTCGCTTGCACTTTTCAGTGATAAGAAACCACAAACCCCGGGCGCGTTTCCTTACGTGGAGATACGAACACTCACTTCTATCTTGTAAACTGTATACTTCAAAACAGGAAGCTGCACAGTAAACTCACCGTGAAATCTGTGTGCGCAACACATCCGCTTAGACCAGGGAGGCAGTCCCTTCTACCTCCATGCTTAGACTTAGAGGTGCGCCACGCCACGATGGCGAGGGACCGAAAAGCGCGAATTCTTCTCCCCGTACATGTATAGATAACACCACACATTTCACGTCTATTGTACCTGAAATCAGGAGGAAGATGGTGCGATCCTCTGTATTAAAGAAATCAATGTTTTGATGGACTACCTGACGGCGGTACTAGGCCTGGCAGTACTTCATGAGCGCGATGAACAATATATTGAAGTAAATCAAGATCAGGTTGCTCGTACAATGTACGATAGAACTCTTCAAGATGCAAAATCTGCTGATCATTACAGCAAATCCTCTAGTCGACCCGATGGATATGTATCTATATGCCAGGTTGTAATTTCAAAGTGTAAGTCCCTAAAGCCCCTGCCACACATCTGCATAGCCGAATGTACATGTGACCTTCCGAACACTGCCGAACCATGGTTAGGAGTAGGTCGGGAGCAAAGTTGGCTGTGGTTGGCTCGTGTTTGGCGAGGTTAGCTACTGTTCGGCTGCGAATATTTTTAACATTCGGGAGTGGACGGAAGGTTCGACAATGGTTGGGGACTGGTCGGCTGGTGGTTGTAGGCTGGCTGTGATCGGGGCGTGGTTGGCAGTCATCATTTGACTCAAATTTGAAAGGTAGGCGTGGCCTAAATCTGGTCAGACTGTACCGCCAACCTTGTTTGGCTAACTGGTGGTCGGGGGGAAGGTTCTGAATGTGTTATAGGGGCTTGAGTAAAGCTTTTATAGACATGTACAGCCAAGCCTCGTAAGAATTTCATGGATATGAAAGGAAATGATATATACATTTATATTTTTCTCACGCACCATGAGCAAAATATAAGGTCAAACATGCAATTCAAAATCTCTAACTACATCGAGAAATTATATACTTTGGCCAATATTGTGATAATATTCCTTTCGCGTTTTTGTGCAGTGTGTAAATGTATGAGAGAAGGCACTTCCGATTCCAAATATCGAACTATGTCGGTAAATTATACACGTGGGTCGATAACAACGTCTCACATCGGCAAGGGCACGCAAGCAACCTGGAATATGAGCGTCAAGGTCAAATTCAGTTACCATATTTCACGTCACGCATGCGTGGGTAAAGTCATAAAGTAGAAGCCGTCCCAGCGTCAGGTCAAGGAGTTCGGAATTCACAAAAATGTCACGTTTTAAAGTCTTTTTAACCTTCAGTACAGACAAGCATCCTTGCAAAAATCCCGTAAAATCTCTCTCCTCCGTTAAAGTACGCATTTACCTAGTCTAACGCCGGGTGAAAATGTCGCGATCAGCCAGGAGACGGCTCCCTAGAGGGGCCGGGCTGCCGTTAGCCGGCGGACGGTGGCGTCGCTCTGTCCGGGGCGCTGTTTAATTCATGTCCCTCGGGGGGATATCGGGCGGGGAAACGTGCGCCGGGTCCACCTAATAGGATGATCGATCGGCCCGATAAGCAGCGGCACAATTGTTCGTTCTTACCCACGAAGCGAAACAGACGGTTTTCTTTCTACCTCTTGAATTATATAGATCAGTGGGAAGTGCAAAAATCCTTTTATACACCCCTCTGCATTAGACAATTAAATTGACACTTGATTTCATCATTGGAATATTATGCACGATGCAAAAATATTATTCAAAACAAAACGCACAAAATGTAAGAAAATTCGTTGAGCGATTTGTGAAATCTTTCGTCGCTGCCTTTAGTAGAAGGGGACCTTACAGGAATAGCAGCACATACTAATTATACCTGCAGCGCGCCATGGGGGCCTCCGGGCTGTAATTCACGAAATGACGGGAAATCGCCTGATTGTATTTGAGAGATCAATAGATATTTATTACAGGAAATGGCCTCGTTTATAAGGGAAATGCTTTGCAAAATTCTATGTCATTAGCATGGGCCTAGAACGGGTTTTCTTTCTCGGACGACAAACTTTGCTTTTAATTCTTATCTTGGCAAGAACTGACAGCAATTGAATGAAAAGGGACCCATCTATTTATTCTAAATGTTTACAATAGACTGGTAGATGCTAGTGTTTGTGAACAGCATAACTTAATAAGCTATGGTTGGATTGTAATGATATTTGCTACGTCGATCAATGATGGCTTGGTTTGCGTTGGGCAAATTGAAGGCCTGGTCCACTTTTGGGTGGTCTGGTGGCCTTCTTAGCTACTGAGACAGAGCGAGTAGTTTTATGCATCTTCTGTTTTTATATGTTACATTTCAGTTTATCTGGCCGCGGTCCATAACAGACGAGACTGCATTAGTATCTGGCACTATAAATGTTGTAAAATGTGTTTTCGTCGCAAGTCTACTGTGTCGGATAATCTACCAACCTACCTCACATATGTTCGGCAATTCCGGCAGAAATCATATTGTTAAGTTAAAACAACTTTACTTTGTCGTTTAATAGCTTCTGACGTAGACGCCTTTAATACTTGTGTCAATGGGCAAAATACTAGTAATGACAGAGACCATAAATAAGTGGTCACGTGGGGGGGGGGGCGTTCCCAGACCAACTTGCATCTGCCTCTGTACAAAATGGTCTATAATGTGATTTCTTCACACGCCTACTGTAACGGTTATCTGTCATTTTACATCGTCATTAACATCTCCCGGAAAAATTACACTCAACTACCTGATATCGTTTCGTATAGCTACCGGTGTAGCTACTGGTTATCACCGCACGTTTGTGCACAGGCACCTGGCCGGGCTCCAACCCGCCCGGCTGAAAGTAATTGCCAGCCCGCCGGCAGTATCTGTAGAGTACGCCTGCGAACTTTCCCCATAAATCTCCTAAGTTTGCGTGGAGGTTGTATGTGCCGCTCACGGAGACTTGTACGCACGTATATATCTCGCGCAGGGGGACAGAAATCGATATTTGAAAGAGCGCCAAGAACAGCTAAGCTCTCTGCTTTCTCACACTGAACATAAAACCCGCCACGGACCCCATTCGCTAGTAAAAATGGCCTTCGCCGATTTTATCTGGACATTACACAACATTTCTTTAAACTCCTCCGTGAGCATTTTGCGAAACTTTCGATTGATTGTAAAATAGTTACAATTTGAAGTGATATAAACCGTAACTTCCAAGGAAATTCTTTTGTTAAGGCACGCACTTCCCTACAACCCAACTTTATAGACAAGATAAGGATCAAACAGCGGCCGAAGTGGCGGTGTACCTAAATTATGAAAATTGCATTGATCTAAAGCCACATGGAAAAATACAGAAACAAAGGTACCACAGATAGATAAAGAATTGTGAAATAATCAATATAGTAAACTGCTGTTATTTGAGTCTACCCCTTTCCTTAGATGTGAATAGATAAACAGGACAAACATGTAGTGATAAAGGATTATTTACTTTCAATGATAAAATTGAGGTAGATGCAAAATATATTTTGAAAATTCATGGTCGAAGAATGAAAGGGTTTTCCACACAAACGGGCGAAGTGGCCAGGCCGGGCGGCAGAATAATCACCCGCCTCACAAATTATATCGATGGTCCTTATTTACCCGTAATACCGCCGGCTTACTTCCACATCTGGTCGACAGGATCTGTATGACGAGGATTTAGAATCATGTGCAGATAGATAAGATACAAAGAATGTAAGATTCAGCAGCAATAATTCACAGCTAAGGCGAGAACGTCTGCGTGTGTACATCATTGGAAATCTTTGCAGGAATGAATGGAAGTGAGTCCAATATTTCTGGAAGAAGAGTACCAAGGACAGAGACAACGGTGGCAGTGTAAATGGTGTTCAGTACCAAGGACAGACAAAGACAACAGCGTCAGAGTGAAATTTTATTTCATTGGCAGTACATTTGGTGATGTTGTATCATACACAGCACAGAAGAGCACAAACCGTATAAATTATCGGGTAATACAATACATATACTTCCAAACGTGGCACTATGAAAGATATCGGTATACATTGTGTGAATGATAAAACAATGCTTTATTGCTATCCTTGTCACCCCTCGTCATGTACATGCGGGTCGGTGCAAGTTTTAGTCTCAGTCAGAGCCTTGCACAATGAAAAATCATGTTATTAAAACCTCGGGTAACGGTGGTAACATTTAAATCGGCATAAATGACTCCTCTTCTCACAGAATGCGCTTTGGGAAGGCTTTAAATGGCATGTAGTGACGAGAGACTGGTGGTGCTATTAGCTGAAATGTTTATCAGCACAAGGGACAGGAACAGACGCATCAACTCTTCCCTTGATGGAACAGATAAGTATAGGGGTGTCACTAGTGTACTATTTATTACAGAAAGGACATGAGGCATAAAAAATATGAAAAATATACATAAGAAAGGTGTCGGCGGTATAAGTTTTCATTGCCATATCTTGAGATGACTTTATGATCACGCACATCATTCAACGCCAGGTACACAGGAAATCTAAGAGACGTCGGGAAAATATCGTCTGGGACAAACGTACATGTAGAGAGGTGAGGGCGTGTCAGTGTAGTGTAGCTGCCGATGTGTATTAGACATGGGGCAAACTATAAGTGTAAGCGTCAATCCGTATTAGCCTGGTATCCATTCTATTCTGCGTACAGGGAAGCAAATCACAGAGACAGTGTAGACGTCAGTGTGGACGTCGAACCACATGTGAACGTTGATAAGGGATGGCAGTATCAGTGTGACTATTCTTCAGCACCAAGGACAGGAACAATTGTATAAGACGGCACTTCATTACTCATGAGCACAAATTAAGCGGAAATACCAATGAATGTCATGGGCAAGGACAATATTATTGAATTGTCATCAATGACAGCGATTGTTAGTCAGCAGAAGAGACAGGGAAAACATCATTAGCGTAAATTCTATCAAGGACTAGCCGGGGACTGATGTGTAATTATGAATGTCATCTAACATTGAGGACAGGGATAACAAAATCAGACATTTGTCGCCAAAACTAAGAAAGAAGCGCCAACGTTAAAGAGGACATAGTTAAAGAGGAAACAGTACATAGTACAGCAGTGACCGACTTTCAGCACCAGGGACAGGAACAACTAGCTAGGGAATTACAAAGTGGACAATACTAGTAGTACCGTGACCGACAGGTACAACGTATTGTAATACTGTTAAGGTATAACACCTTGGAATTCTTACTACATGTATATTAGGGTCAGAAAGTAATGGACGTCTGTCTACAAGTCAGTAGGTATTACTTTCTGAACCTAAAATACATAGTAAGAATACATAGATGTTATATATTAACACTGTTACAATAAGTTCTACCTGTTGGCCACGGTAGGCACTGAAGTCAAATTTTTTGTATCTCATAGGACATCAGACATTGTAACCGTTATCAGGCTTGGTAAGATATACAGTTGACGCATTACTATATGTGGCTAGATATACTGATAAATGTATCGAACCAACATGTAGTATTCATAAGCAGACAAGTGTTAGCACAGTGCATTATCGGGGTTTGATAATCGTACCTTCTGCATGCTGCGTGCGTTTTTGCAGCCAGCCAATCTATGTAATCTATACTGGGGAACAACAAGACATCGGCAATCAAATAACAACAAAAGAGTTAGGGATTAACCGATGCCATTATTGTCAGCTAGTTTTACCACTTCGGGTGACAAAATTGCGGGGTTACTGGGTCACACAGGCGCAGTTCTACCGTAGAGGTACGAGTACCTCCCAATATTGATGAGCCGAGCCCTTTGCGGCCGCCATATCAATATTTTAGGGAAATCTAATTTTCCAGGGGTAAATTATATATCCAGCCGCCGCGCTGCGGGAACACAACGCGACAAAGTGTGCGGAGACAGCTGGCTTATTATCTTGATTAGGGTGAGGCGGGGGAACAAACTTCGAAATGTCAGCCTCTTCAAGTACACTCTCAGAATGCAAACCGATCCGCAGACAGATTTGTCACCGGCGCGCAGTGTTACAGGCACGCGGCCTGCATTCAGTATGTGCCTCGCGTGTGCACATCACCTCGTTTAACGTCTGCAGTGACGTAAGAGGTGGCATAAAACGCGGGAACAATGCCCCTCGAAAGCCCATTGCCGCCAAATTTAATGGTCCTGATATTGCCCCGTGGTTGTTGGAATGTAGAAATGATTTTATGGGAGTCAGTGACCTCGGCATGGCGCTTTCCAAGTTGCGAGCGTGGGTGTGAGAAATGACGCGCGCTCTGATCAAAGATGGCGTCCTTGCCACCGTGGCAAACATGGCTCCAACATGAAATGTCTAAAATATTCCCAGGGCGTCCCATCAAATGCCTTATGTAACCTTCCTCAGAGAACAAACATTCAGAGTAGAGCTAGTCTTCTCACCCTGACGGATAACCTTTTCTCTTTTTTCCAACAAAGAGGCACTTGCAGACAGACCTCGCGGCATGGCGGTCACGTAACACGTGCTGGCAGGCGAAACTACATCAAAACATTGTTTCTCGTACATTATTTTGTTGACGATATGATTTATAATTCATGATACACATACGCAGTGTATTGTTTTTCAACTTAAGACAGTAATGTATTTTAAGTTTTTGTAGAGGATTGGTTCTAGTAGATGAATCACCCAGATAGATGTATGGCTAGGACTTTTGTTTTGTGGGCAATTTTTCTGCGTTTTGCACGTCTTTCAAATGATGTAATTCTAGAAGAAGTAACCCACACAAAAACGACGAAAAACATGACAAACGCTGCAAGAAAAAATGACGTCCAAAGTATCTATATCAAAACCCGCGTACATATGCTATGAGAATATTGCCTCGCCCACGTCGTGTGGGAAGCGTACCTATCTCATTTGTCTGTCGCAGTTCACGCAACCGTACGATTTACACGACCATAAAAATCGTCTATGAAGTCTCTCTCGGCAAATTACGACACAAATGTCCCCGCGCACAACCCGCTTTATCAATTTAAACCGTTCCCGATCGGGGAGTCGGACAGATTGTTTTCCCGCCTAATGCGACCGTATGTACGCGCGTCACGTCCGGGAAGCCCAGACATGACGTCAGGGCGGGAACGGGAGACACGGAGACACTGCGGTGTGATCTCTCACTGTCAGTCAGCGTGCACGCGCAACATGGCAGCCGCTGCCCCGCCATCAATTATTGAAATGTTTTAATTTCCTGTAAACATGTCTGTAGCCGGGAGACGGCACTGAGGCGAATTGAATGTGATTCCATTCAGACTTGTTGCCCTGCGGCCACGTAGTTGGTACGCTGTACTCACACGTTAGTCTCAACCAGACTAACAGCGCAGCTTCAAAAACAGTAAAATTTAGCCAAATAGGGGGAATAATTGGCCAGGGGAGTTTAACCACCGTAGAGTTCATTTTCCTGTGCGGTCCGAATGGAAATGAAACCGTGATGGTCGACCCACTCCCCGGGCCAATCAGACCATAGTTTTGCCGAATTCTACAATCCTAACCCACTTTGGGAAGGCCTGGTGGAGGCTACTCAGTAACACATTCACGTTCACGTTCAGAATGTGAAAGTACTTCCTGAAATAAAGAATACACGGTTAAACGTGTTTGGCTTGAGATCCTGCCGCCGGCTGTTTTTCTTTTTAGGGGGGGTCTAATACTCCCAGGACACTCAACACTACACTCGACTTGCGAGCATATGTTGAAGGAGGGGAATGTCCCTCTATCCCTTTTATCAATAAACACCAGTTTCATCACTTAGAAAGACCACTAAAATTTTACTTATCTCCAAGACCATGACCTTAACACTTGAGTTGCTGAGTTTTCTTAATAGCTGTTCAATCAGATTTTCCGAATTCCGACAAATTTCGAATATTTCCTTCTCTTTCTATCTGAAACTGACTTGGGTTATCATTGGACGTCTCTCCACAAATATGTCTCCGACTTGGGGGATAAAATAAATGCAGACTTCCCTCCCCACCTGTATGTTTGGCAATTGCCATCCGCCCCTTTAACGTGTACCTATAATGATCTGCTCGGTCTTAACCCTGCCGACCAGGCATTACCCCGGCTTTAGGGGCTTTTACACCTCACCCGCCCTCCCCATCAGGCGGATTAGCTCAGCTCTGCTTGAAAAGTTTGGCTGCGTACAAGACCGGGTAATAAAATAACCACCTTTTTCAAACCTCTGCGTACAAGGCTAGAATAATCATTGAAAAAACTGTTTTGCCAGACGAGATCAATGAGTTTTCCACCTATCTTATCATTATTTTTAATAGCAGCCTCACAATTGACCTTTTATGCTGATATCATCCAACAGAAGCAGCAGTTTGGCTGCACACAAGACGGTAATAAAATACCCACCTTCCTCACACCCCAGGCTGTGTATGAGTGACAGGCTGAATAAATGTTTTAAATGGGAACCATGCGGCTCCAGATGTCTTACTTACGGATTACGATGAAAAAGATGTCAGTCAGCTGAGGAATGATTTCACTATACTCATTCTGCGTACGAGTCGGGAATAACAATGACGATAAAAAGGAAACCAGCTTGGTGTTTGGCCAGACACTAACAGTGATAGGGTCTATGTTCACCCCCTCCCCCTTTTCCCCATCATTCTTTTCTTCTTTGGAATAGCCTCTCACAATTGACATTCAAGATGACACAGTAGAAGGAACAGTTTTGATAACAGGCCTGTGGTAATTTGATAATTGCCAAAATTGATGAAATAGAAGATACCGCGCTGCCGAAGGGATAGAGTAATTTTCTCGTCCATGTATTTTCTCTTATCTCCAAATTTTCATGAAGTTTCCTTGGATGAAACTGCCCTACACAATCCACTGGGATCAGTCTAAGAACAGCCAGTCTCGCCCGGCTTACGTTCAGTATGATTTTACCCCGTTGAAGCGTGATGGCCATTCTCAATCGCTGATGACTATCGACGACCGTTATAATGAACAAAATGGCGATCTGAACATCACTGGCAAGTGTTGCGCTTTTGATCATGCGCGCGATCATCTTGCAATGTTATATAAATCACAAATTTGCGCTGTCTACAACTTCGAATCACCCGTCTGGAAAACTGCAGTTGAAAATCATATTGTTGTTTCATTCAGATCTTTGTTGCATGATGTTATCTTGTCTTTGCGTTTTGCAATATTGATATTGATGTGTCTCCCTCCGCCAAAAGAATCGATGATTTGCCAAGCAACCCGAATTAACCTTCCGCACGCCTGACCAATGGCAGGTGCGGACGGCTGCGTCATCGCGGTGACGTCACGGACAGCCCGTCCCCAGTCAGTGCAGTGCAATGGCTGACGCCGCATCCCCATCTACCGCCGGGCCTCCGCAGTCGGACTCGGACACCATGGCCGACAACGCCAAGGGCTATCTACTGGCCATCGTCGGCGAGGTCGACTCGCCCGAAGCGCTGAGGGCGGCGGCAGAGGCCGTCGGAAGAGGTAAGGGCGAGGTTCTTTTTAGGAACTTTTCTACGCCTTCCTCCAGTACATTATTATTTTTCTTTCGCGGGTTCGGATTCCTTTAGGATGAGTTCACTAGATGCATGGCTTAAGGCACGAACTCAGCGCACTAGTGATATAGCGGCGTTGACAGCGCCACTGACAAATTTGTCCGCGATAGAGACATACACCATTCTTAGCTGAACTGCGGGGGCGTTGCGCTCGTGGGTTCTGCCTTTTTCCTGTGCCGGGGGCGCTCAGTAAACGTTGCGCCACTGGCAGCCAGAAATACATCTTCCTGTTTTTTTCAGTCACAAAATTGTTTGCTTTATAGCCATAACTTTATAGTTTTAGGGACCGTATTTTTTTCTTCAATTGCATCAATCTTTTTTTTTTGTGGTGAAAATGCACTCCAAACCTTTCTTGTGCCACAGGCCTCCTGAGCATCAGATGGTCGAGATGAGACTGTGTACCCCTTGGGGCCGGCGATTGATTGCATGAAAAATACATCTCCGTCAGAAATACCGGTCCCTCCGGAACAGCCTCGTTGCCTCCGGAATATATATTCAATTTTTCTCCAACAGCCACCCATATCTCACACCCATACATGTGCCTCACCAGGAGAAAACATTTCTAACTCAAGCAATTCAATTTTGTCGCAAGCCCCGTTCTAAGTTTATTGGGCTGTATAACAGTAAATAATTGAAGGCTGGGAGAGAGAATGGGGAAGATTCTGGCGGTTATTGTCCAATTGGAGCGCCCATTACTTAATGCCTGCCACCTGTTTCAGCCCGGTAAGCCAGCACAATGGCGGGAGAGCCATTACAACTGGGAGGTCAATTGCACGGTTTGCAGGGGTCGCCGATAATGAGGCATGTCCTCATGAACCCCTGTTAGCTCCACTGGTTATGTGTGGTACATAATATGTGGGTCACTTACACTTAATTTAGAGAAAAGTGGAGAGTTTTATCAATGCGATTTTGGAAATTTTCTGTGTATTACATAATGTTGATTCATGAAAAAAGGAGGAGCGAAATAGTTGTTTGCAGTATAAAAGCTGGTTTGGTGGAATTGCCTGAAATTCATGTAAGATAGGGAAAGGAAGGGACAAAAAAAAGAAAACATATAGGGAAAAATACCGATATAAATTTGTTGTATACATTTTTGCCTCTCAAAAGGGCAAAAATATTGCCCCAATAGCATATATTTGGTAATATAAATTTTCATTTATAATGCTAAGACCCCACAATAAATCGTGTTTGACCCATTTTGAATACCAAATGATCCAAAGTTTTGAAAGCTTCTTCTCTTTCATTAGAAAAGCTTCTAATTTGATTATCATATCAAATGACACATGAATGAAATATTTGCTCATTTAGCATTCTGCAGCTGTGCTTAGAATTTGCAATTCAAGCTAAGTGAGGTAGTGCTTTATACAATCTGCTGATAACAATTTTGTCAGCTTGCCAAATCTCCAACACTGTTCAGTATCATATATCTGTCACTATGGGGTGAATCATGGTCGTGCTTTGCCCGAGTTTGCCACTTAATAGTCTGAATTATTGGAGCTTTACAGCAGAAATATGCAATAAAATCACATCCAAGTTTTGGAAAGAATATTAGAAGTATTCCAAAAAGGTCAGCTGCCTGTTAAGAAATTTATAGAATGTGTGGGGCTGCCCCAGTCATTGGGTCTTTAGTTTCCTCCCACCTCCCAGGCACTAAAGAGAACTGTTGGGCCAATGGTTGCACATTCACTACATAAACTGCACATTTTATGATCACTGGATAACTGAGGCACAGGTCTGACTTTGAGAAAACTCTCTAATACACATGTATAAACTGTATTGCTCTCTGATACATTTCTACTAGATAAGCAAAGATCAGGTAAGGTTATGATATCAAATATACCAGTCCATCAAAAATGAGAATTATGGCAAAAACAATCAATGCAACAGACCAAATTGATGTCATCTATGGCACACACTTAGCCAAGCTATCGAATGGAGGTAAAATTTTCCAGAGCCTCTCCTTTTTCCCAAGCCACCTAACCTGGTATATGTCATTGCTATCTTTTTGTTAAATGAACCCTTTGGGAGACTGTCCTTGCTGGAAAATAGATTAGACGGATTCATAAAAATGCATCATCAGGATGAAGATGTCACATTGGATGACACAAATTGTAGAGCATGATCCTATTTTGTGCCCTGGAATATATGTAACATAATAGGTATTGTCATCTTCTGCAATAAACTTTGATTTACATAAACCTGGGATGATTGTGATGAATTAAGTATTGGAAAGAAAATTATATTATAAGAAAATGTTAAGGTGTAACTGTCATTTTTCAGGAGATATGTCTTTTTGGGTTGAAAGTTCATGGCATTTTTTTTCTCATTTTGTTTCCCTGCAACATAGCAGACTAATTATGGCTCCAACAAGAAACAAATATATCAGAGGGGTGAGGTAATGTCGTATATGTAGTGTACATATGAAACATTCTTTGGTGAGGGGCAAGAAATCAAGCAAAAAAATCAAAACCTCACACCCCAAGCCCACAATCAGGATTGTTTATCACAGATGTGTATATCATGGAGATCAAGGGATACAAGTGTGTATGTCTTAAAGGTATTGAAACTGGTCTAAAGGCATGATGCTCAGACACACTCTAAGGTCTATTTGTAATTTGATGGAACAGTTTTGAGACAACAGAAATAAGTGTGAAACAATCTAGGTTAAGAGGATTAAGATGGTGAAAGACAGCTGTGTCTTTTGTTAACATGCATTAAGATGTACGTATTGTCTTGACAGGAATTAAGGCATGGCCCAACCCTGCCATGAAGGAAGATGTCAGCACAGCCCTGAAGGACATGATGTCCCAGAAGCCGTCAGTCTCAGATGACATTCAAGGTAAGGATGTACACATGTACTTTTAAACAATCTTGAACCCATAGAAAGTCAATTGTCATTCCTTTCAAGCAAACAATATTTTTAGAAAAGGAGAAAGGCTGTCTGTATCTCATATAATGAGTAATGCCTGCAATTATAGAATGCCTGCCTGGGATGAATATTAATTGAATCAAAACCACTTGTCAGATATTGCTTGTCAATGAGTTTATGTATTTAGATATAGCAAAATTCTACATTAAAAGGTATAAATCATTATCATGGTATTTAGGACATTCCAGCATTACTTAGAATATCATTTTACATAATTTTATTTGAATCCTTCAGTATTTGAAATGTTTACCATTTCTCCCATGATTGATTACTTAAACCAGGTATATGTTGTACCACTTTACAAAGTTTGAAACCCAAACCCAGGTATGTGAGCTTGCTTTATACATCTGAGACCCAGTTTCGCTACTTGCATTTGGAGTTAAACTTGATTAAGTTGTACAACTGCACTACATTGTCCTAACCAAATTTGGACATGCAGGTTCCATCTGTGTGTTCCATACATGGACCATTTCTGGGTCAAGGTCACTTCCTCCCCAGTACTGAACATGGCTTTCCACTCAGATGGATTGCTGGTAACTGAGGATGTTTAGTTGGAAAGGGTCAAAGGTGCATTTTTTTGTCTGCATGTCACAGAAAGCCAGTGGTGACAACCTCTAAAGGGAATTATGGCTCACTGAGGCTAGAGATGCAGTTGGGACTTTGGAAGGTCTGGTGATCTCCCACTACTCATGTTTCCCTGAACCAGTTGAGCTGCTGATAATCAGACTGTTCAAGGCTGAAAAGATGTATGTTCTCTCAGTTGAAATAGACATTTTTGACAGCTCTTCAAGAGGCTCTGTCTGCCTTTTTCCCCCAAAAGGCTTAATCGGCCATTTGAATCTTTCATAATCTGTACTCTGAGTCTGACTACTGTCTAATGCACATAAAAGCATGTGTAGCCCTTTCATGGAGTAAGACTTAGGCACAGACACAGTTAGGATTGCAGACCCATTTAAGAAGGTCTCATGTGATCTCCCTGCACTTCTGAACCTGCCTAGTCCAAGGTCATGATATGAGTCAAATGTGGGAGCAGATGGTCAACTGGTTTCTGTAAGTGCACCTCTATCAGCATATTGCCTGTGGGCATGTCTGTATGTATTAGATGAGGACTCTTACTGGAATAGGTCTTCATTTTAAGTGTTTGCAAAAGTCGTTGTTGGCAGTTTGATTTCCAGAGAATGACACTTGCATCCATGTACTGCAATCTGTTGTACTCAGGACAAACAGTGTGATTCTGGTTTTCTGCATTCTAAGAGCTGCATATGGCTGAACCATAGATGATCAGGAAGTGTTATTCTGCATAACACTGGCACTCACTGCTGTTACTGGGGATATGTTTGTTTTTATTGATGGCAAACCCTGAACTAACTCTGTCTTTATAGAGGTCAAGTTCATGTAGGCAGCATACACATTCTGTCCATTAAACTCCTCAGTATTCATTCTTTGCCAACTTACCTTTTGAAACACCTTTGAAAATCTCATAAAACCCTTCACTAGCCTCTCTCCTTACAGAGGTCAAGTTCAAGCCAAAGTAGACAGCACACACATTCCCTCCTGGTTACGGCAAACTCCTCAGTGTTTATTCCTAACACTGTGGCCTGCCAACTGACCTCATCACGCCTTGCACATTTGTGAAAGCAGCATTCACGCTTTTCTCTCGGAGAGTGAGTCACAGGAGGCTTTAGATTTCTCATGAAACATTGATGACATGGCCCATTCAACAAATGGACTTTTCAGCCAGGTTTTAGTCTTTGGGGGAAAGGATTGGGAAAGCTGTGATGACAGGCATTGAAATGTGTTTTGGTAATGCTCACTTGTGCAGAACATTAAATGTGACCTGCACAGAATACAGCAATCACGGGTTCTTAACAGTTAATACATAAGGGGGTTTATGGCTTGAACGCACCCGTATCCCACCCATAAAACACTGCTTCAATTTGATTTTATATTAGTAGAGTGATCTTTTTAGGGCAAAGGTCTACAATGATATAACAAAATGAATGAAAGCATATTCAATATTCACAGCACTTAAAAATCTATCATTATCCTTCCAGAACAGCAGTTCCTTTCCTACTAAAACATCTGAATTGTTCAGTCACTTTGCAGGCATGTGGCAGCAACTGGTTATGTCAACCCAAATGACTTGTTATGACTAAACCATCAACATCTAAAATTAATAGTAGAAACCATTTTTTATATGAAAAAAATTAAAAAGGGTAATTTGACTTCATTTCAAATTACCAAGCTAATGCATGTATTATGATGTAATTCTAAGTTCCAATTTTTATGCAAGTTTCAACTGTAATTTCCAACACAATTTTGTTGTTGGAACAATGCCAAAACATTTCCTTCTGTGAGCTTTACTGTCAAGTCTCTTACAACAACTCTGTTTGCTGGCACAGAGCATGATTATGACAGATCAGCATTAAAGATATAACAGTTAGTATGAAGGGATCAGCATAAAAGCAATTAAATTGTTCTTTTAATCTACACTTTTTATGCACCCATAAAACTCTTGATGTTTCGGCCTTGTAATAATGGATTGTGCCAAAAGGACAAATCCTCCATTTCCGCTAAGTTCACCCCTGGGTCAGGACCAGTTTGAGTGCAGCAGAAGTTCACATGTCCCACATTTCCACTCATGAGAGTACTTAGAGTGGATCGTTAAGACTTTAATGGGCTAGTTCTGCTCTGGGGACTCGTTAAATGACAGATGACAGTCCTATTAAAAGCAAAAGCCGATGTAGACAATGTGACTACATTACATATTGATACCCCCAAGTAACATCAAAAGTCATCAATACTGACAATTTGTCAGTTTGACCCACTACGTAACCATATATTTCTGATTGTAAATGTATACATAAACTTACTAATAGATGAGAACAACTTCCTCTTCCTCTTCTGAATAGTGACTTTGCTGATTGCATATTACTGGTAACTAATTATAACTTTAATTTTAACATATTCTCTTGTGATTCAAAATATGGATCCGAAGTGTTTATCTGACATAGTACATGCTATCTACAAATACAATCCTTCAAAAAATCCTCTGTAAATGCTGATCCCTATCAAAAGTTTTAAACACTTTTTTTTTCATCTGCCAAAGTCCAGACCCCTGTTGGTTTTTGCTTGCTGCTAACAGTTATAATTGGACTGTTGGGAGAATTGTGATGAGGCAGGAGATACTTTCTTCAGTTTCAATTCTTCATCCTGACAGCAGGATTCACCCCCAACCCACCAGTAATCCAATGTGGAAGAGAAATAAAGCCATTAACGGAACCATAATCCTCAGGAAATCTACTTTTTCCTGTGGTCATGGCCCTCCCCGTAACTGTAAAAATGCACATTAATTTTTGATCTGATAGAACGATTTTTCACTTTCATGGCCAAGATAATGGGAATGGTGGCTCAACTATTGGATTTAAGCCAGATAGATATGTTGGGAAGAAAGTTAATTGGAGGATGTGATCATTATTCATAAAACTCACAGAGCACTAAAAGTGCTATGGAATTAGATGTCAAAGTTTGAGGTCATGTATGTCTGGTGGGATTAGAGTGTACAAATGTCATGGCTGTTCAGTAGTTTTGCGGAAAGAAACATGTCCACAAAGACAATATTTGTGTGAAATTTCTAGGTGTCTATGTGACTCTAGCACCAAGGACAGGAATGGTTTTAAGGTGGATTCATGTCTACAGTTGCAATTTTTTTAAGAAACATGTCCACAAAGATAACATTAGTGTGCAACTTCCAGAAGTCCATGCGATAGCTTTCAGCACCAAGGACAGGGATGGTTTGACAGGTTTTCATTGAAAAGATGGCCAATTGGATTCTTTGACAACCTAAAACTTGTTTGTACTTTGAAGTTACAGCTTTGGTTAACACTTTGAGTGCTTCCTGCCCATAAAAAGTCATTTGGGTCAATTACATGCAGTTGGATTGTGGAAACACATCTTCTTCATACAATTTTTTCTTGAATAGGCATGAAATTTTAATCAAGGCTCCCTTAAATTGACCCCAACATAGACAAATGTAATAAAAGGGACTTTTAGTAGGTTTGAGCATTAGGCAATATCTTGCACCTCTCAAAATGCTTTTTTTCATATTTGCCTTGTTTTACCACAGAATACATGAGTAGCGGCCTCTTTAAGCTTCAAGGAAAAGTAACAATTGCCACGTCGATCCATTTCTAGTCAAGAACAGGGATTACAAAGCCTTACAATGAAAGGGGCACTGTTTGGGGAATTCCTGTTGCTCAGTGCAATTTTAAGCAGACCTTACAAATGTATACTCACTTTGTACAGCAACTTGAAACCCCTCTGAAGGCCCCACACAGTGTAAAATTCAGTAATTGAGGTATAGTAATGAAAGCAGACATCGGTCCATCACCCTTCCCCACACAATCAGCTTCCAAATTAGTCTGGTCCCTGTGATGTATGAGTCATTACAGAAAAGGCTTTTCCTGTTCAGAACCATCAGGGGTTGTTTCCAGACTGTGTCACTTGGCTGTCGTCCAAGTGCTGGTCTCTGTGCATTGTACTGTTTGCTCATCTGAGAAGCCTGATAAAGACACACCAATTCAAGTCGTTGGTGCTCGGCATTGACATGCTACTGAAAAGAAAGTCTATTCCAAAATAAGTTACTGTTTCATCAGGTTGGTAAAGTATAGGATACAAGAGTTTTCTTTTACACAGCCAAGATAGTTTTACTTGCTGACGCAGTGTCTATCAGACACCTTCCTCAGAGCTTCTGACTGTAGTTCTGCTTCTCGCCGTTATATGTAGCCAATGTATGTTGCGCTTTTGCGGAACTCCAGTAAGAAGCTCTGAGGAAGGCAAGAAGTCTATTTCCAGTTTTGGGAAATTAAAAATGGCTATGTGTTTTTCTGGTCACAGCTTTGTTTTCATAT